TCCTCATCCCCGGGTGCTGGGTGCTCCTCCTCTGTGCCGGGTGGGGAAACCGAGGCCCAGGCTGGGGCTTGCCTGGCCCGTGCCGGGCTCCCGGCTCACCTGGGCAGCAGCGGGTTTGGGGGTGCTGGTGGCATCCAGGGCTCCCAGATCTGTAAGGCAAGGAGCTGGGATGGGGCTCACGGCGCCGAGCCCACGTCAAGGAGGGTCTAAGGCTCAGGGTGAGCACGTCTCACCTGAGGAGTCGTTGGTGGAGGCGGCTCGGTCCCTCGTCCCTGCTGCCGGGGCAGATGTAGGGGTTACAAGGGCTTTACAAGGGGTTTACAAGGGCTTTACAAGGGTTTTACAAGGGCTTTGCGAGGGGTTTACAAGGGGTTTACAAAGGCTTTGCAAGGGCTTTACAAGGTCTTTACAAGGGGTTTGCAAGGGGTTTACAAAGGCTTTACAAGGGCTTTACAAGGGCTTTGCAAGGGGTTTGCAAGGGCTTTGCAAGGGCTTTGCAAGGGGTTTGCAAGGGCTTTACAAGGGCTTTGCAAGGGGTTTGCAAGGGGTTTGCAAGGGGTTTCAAGGGGTTTACAAGGGCTTTACAAGGGCTTTGCAAGGGGTTTGCAAGGGCTTTACAAGGGCTTTGCAAGGGCTTTGCAAGGGCTTTACAAGGGCTTTACAAGGGCTTTGCAAGGGCTTTACAAGGGGTTCACAAGGGCTTTACAAGGGGTTCACAAGGGCTTTACAAGGGCTTTACAAGGGCTTTACAACTGCTTTACAACGGCTTTGCAGGGGCTTTACAACGGCTTTACAAGGGGTTTCCAAGGGCTTTACAAGGGCTTTGCAAGGCCTTTACAAGGGCTTTACAAGGGCTTTACAAGGGCTTTACAAGGGCTTTACAACGGCTTTACAAGGGCTTTACAAGGGCTTTACAACGGTTTTACAAGGGGTTTACAAGGGCTTTACAAGGGCTTTGCAAGGGCTTTACAACGGTTTTACAAGGGCTTTACAAGGGCTTTACAAGGGCTTTGAAAGGGCTTTACAAGGGGTTTACAAGGGGTTTACAATGGCTTTGCAAGGGCTTTACAAGGGCTTTACAAGGGGTTCACAAGGGCTTTACAAGGGCTTTACAAGGGCTTTGCAAGGGCTTTACAAGGGCTTTGCAAGGGGTTGACAACGGCTTTGCAAGGGCTTTACAAGGGCTTTACAAGGGCTTTACAAGGGGCTTTGCAAGGGCTTTGCAAGGGCTTTGCAAGGGGTTGACAACGGCTTTGCAAGGGCTTTGCAAGGCCTTTACAAGGGGTTTGCAAGGGCTTTGCAAGGGGTTTGCAAGGGCTTTGCAATGCCTTTACAAGGGGTTTACAAGGGCTTTACAAGGGCTTTGCAAGGGGTTTACAAGGGCTTTACAAGGGCTTTACAAGGGCTTTGCAAGGGCTTTGCAAGGGCTTTGCAAGCCCCTCCTGAGCTGCGAGCTTTGGGGTTTGCAGGAGGAGGAAAACCTTCTCTTTGCGCTGGAGCAAAGGGCAGAGCTGGCCCCATAGCGGCCACCACGGGGCAGGAAGGGGAGCTCCGGGTTCAAACCTGGGCGTTCCAAGGCAAACCGAGCGAGGGGGCAGCCCCACCGCGGCCCCCCCTTGCTCCAGCACGCACCCAGAGCTCACCCCGCTGCACCAGAGCAGGCGGCTCTCGCTGCTCTGAGGATGTGGGTTGGGAGGTGGCTGTTACCTCTTCCTGCCGCCCCAACGCGCTGCGGAGCAAAAGGGGGGCCCTCACCTTCCCCCTTGGTCCAGCGGTAGGTGAAGAAGAGCACGAGCAGAGCAACCACCACGAAGATGGCCGGGGACCAGTACTTGATGGGAAGAGCTGATGCGCTTCCTAAGGGAAGGGATAAGGGATGCTGCCCGGCTGCTCGCAGATACCCAAAGGGATGCGGCAAGAGGTCTCTGTGGGGGATGCAGGACATTCCCAAGCTGCACCTTTGCCTTCCTCACGTGTTTTGTTGCCTGCAGCATCTCTCTGTGGCTGCACGGAGGTGGTGATGGGGTCCCTGCTCCAAGGAGGGGTTGGGGAGGCTGTTGGCCACGTCGTCAGCTCGTCCGTACCCGCAGCGGTTGCGCTGGGCTCTGTCGGCAGCTCGGGGCCGTCGTCACCGTGGCCTGCATCCTCTTTGAGGATGAGAGCTGGGAATGAGGGGCATCAACTGATGTCAACGCCTCCCCACACCCAAACTGCCCCTATGGAGCGGGAATGGGGCTGCACCGCCATGGTCCCACACCAGGAGCTCAGCCGGCACCACAGCACCACGGCTTAGGGAGAGGCCTCAGGACAAAGGGATGCAAACGGGTCCGTGGCATCACCCTCCCACCACGGTCACACTGAGACAAACACCCCCTAAGGCAGAGGATGCTACCGGTGGCGTTGCCACGGTGGGTGCTGGCAAAGGCTTGTTGGAACTCGTGCAGGGCCACGTCACCAGCAGCATCCCACTGGTGCTGGGCAGCTGCCTGTGGTGCTCTGTGGTGGTGGAACGGGGTCCTCAAGCAACCCAGCCCATGGTGAGATGTGGACAAGCAAGGGGCCGGGTGGTCACCGAGCATCCCTGCCCCTTGGCCAGCAAAGGGATGGCCAGAGGGAGCCCAGCGTGGGGATTTGGGGCCCGAATCAATGCTGGGAGAGCCCAGGGAACCCCAGTTCAGGCCCTGCACATGAGCCAGACCCCAGCCCGACCATAAAGCCATGGCCTGAGCCTTTCCCCCCATGCAATGTCCAGGGGAGCATCCTGCCCTGCTGCAAAGGGAACCCTGAGCAGGCACCGTGGTCGCACACCCGCTGCCTTCACATCGCCCCTTCCTCCTCCTCTTCCTCTTCCCCCAGCCCCATAGATGGAGGGAACCCCCCCGAGCCCCACTCACCAGCTCCGGAGCAGAGCACTGCCATGCAGAGCCAGCCCATCCCCACGCCCTGGGGCTCCATCCTCCCCTTCCACTGCTCCCTCTTGCAATGTCTTCCTTCCCCTTTCTGCCCCACCAACGGCTTCCTGTGAGCTCAAAGGTTCTGGCACTGAAATGGGGTGATTAATGGCCCGAAAACACCCCATGAGAGGAGGGGGGGGGGCATTTTGGGGCTATGACCAGCATAGGGGATAGATCCCATGACAGGGGCAAAGCAGGAGGCGATGCTCCGGTGATGCTCCGGCTCCCTTTGGACCGGTCCCCGGTGCCATCACTGCTGGGTTAAGCCTCGTCCAGGCTGGGGATTGGAGTTACAAGGGCGAATTTGGTGCCACACGGCCGATGCACGGGTCGAATGCGTGATCCATGGGGTGTGTTTTGAACTGATCAGCGTGGAAGCTCAAACACCCATTGTGAAAAGGCGGAGAGCAAAGAAATCACTGCCAAAAACAGCCTGGTTTCACCTCAAACCGCGCGCAGACAGAAACTGAGCTCGGATGTGTCTGGCGTTTTTATTCCTGGAGGGCTCCCCTGTGCCAGGCACTTCCAAGAGATCTCCAGTTTCATCCCTGAATAATTTACTATCTACACAGACGAGACAAAGAGCAGAGGGAAGCGGCACGGGAAGCGGCTTCCCATTGTCTGGCAGCACCGGAAAACTGGTGCCAAGGTGGGAGCTGGGCTCCATTGCTGGCTCTGAAGGGGGGGGGGATATGGGGAGCAGGGATTTGGGGTGCCCCGTGTCCTGCTCGCTGGGTATCCCAGCTCTGGGTGAAGCATCCCGGTGGGATGCAGCCAGTAGCGCGCTGCGCAGCATCCCTGCATCTCTTGGGAAGCTGCTCTCCTCCTGAAGCTTCCATACAAACGCTTCACCCAAGAGTTAAACCTCATCTCCAAACCCATCAAAGCGGTGGAGTGGAACAGCATCAGCCACCTTCCTTGTCCTGTTTGCCCCCAGGCTGCATCATCTCCTGCCTATGGACCATGACAGCATCTCAGGGGACCACGAACCGCTTGCTGCTGGCACAAAGCGATGCTGAGCACGGTGCTGGGGGCTCTGAGGTCTGCAAGGTCCCCAGCAGGAGCAGGAGCACTGCAGAAGCAGCCAGAGCTGAAAGGGCAGCTCCCGGCTGAGTTTCCATCTTCAGCTTCGCACCACCAAGCGTTGTCCCTGCTTCCTTTCGGGTGAGCAATCGAATGAAGCTGCTGAAGCATTTGCCCCGTTGAGAAGTATAGGGCAAAGGAACAGGAAGAAAGGGGGCTAAGGGGCTCCTCAGCTCTTCCCGGCCTCCATTGGGAGGCTCCAAACTGCGAGGTGCTGCAGGGCGAATCCCAGGAGTCACAGAATCACACAAGCTTGGGATGGTTTGGGTTGGAAGGGAGCTTAAAGTTCATCTAAAGCCACGGGCAGGGACCCCTTCCACAGGAGCAGGATGCTCCAACCTGGCCTTGAACACTGCCAGGGATGGGGCAGCCACAGCTTCTCTGGGCACCCTGTGCCAGCGCCTCAGCACCCTCACAGGGAAGAGCTTCTGCCTAAGAGCTCAGCTCAGTCTCCCCTCGGGCAGGTTAAAGCCATTCCCCTTGGGAGCATCTTTGTGGCCCATCAGGAGCAGCAGATCCCATCCTTGCACTGGGAGCGCTGGACCCACAGCCACAGCTCTGGATCATGGGGGGACCTGATGGCTCCCTACAAGTGCTGACAGGAGAGGCTGGGCTCTGCTCCCAAGGAACAAGAGATGGGACAAGAGGAAGCGGCCTCAAGCTGCCCCAGGGCAGGTTTAGATGGAGCTGAGGAACAATTCCTGCCCCAGAGGGTGCTCAGGCGTTGGAACAGGCTGCCCAGGGCCCTGCCAGTGCTCACACCCCCCAAGCGCCATGGGGCAGTGGTGGCCTTGGCAGCGCTGGGAATGGTTTGGTTTAATGATCTTAAAGGTCCTTTCCAACCCAGTTGATCCCATGATGATCCCATGATGATCCCATGATGATCCCATGATGATCCCATGATGATCCCATGATGATCCCATGATGATCCCATGATGATCCCATGATGATCCCATGATGATCCCATGATCCTTCTCCCCTCCAGAGAGGGTAGCAATGGGGGGAGCGCCGCACTCAGAGCAAACTGGAGTATTGCTCTCACTAGCTGACCAACGCGTAGAGGGTTTTCTCCTCCTGCCCCCAGCAGCCTGGCAGGCCCTTACCCATCTTCTCATCATCCGTCTGCAACCACAAAGGGACAAAAGCTTTGCTTGGGCTCGGGGAACCCAATCCCTCCATTGGCAAGAGAGAGGGGTCCCATGGGCTTGGTTTGATGCTCTGGAGCCCAGGAAAGCCCAGTGAGGGGTCCCATGGGCTTGGTTTGATGCTCTGGAGCCCAGGAAAGCCCAGTGAGGACCCATCTGCTCCTGCCTGTGGGTCCAGGGGTTACATCTCTCTCCCTGGGGTCTTCCCCATCTCCTTGCTTGGGGCTGGAGCCCCTTTAGGGGAGATGGCCACGAGCCACGGCTCACCTGGGCTGTAGCCGGCGCCGTGCGAGGGGTGGGTTTGGAGGTCTCAGCGCCGGGGGTCGGTGTCGTCGTGGAGCCCTCTTGCAGGTAGACCTGGGGGGGGAAAAGGCTTTAAAAGGGGTTTCCAGGGCTTGGAGGCATCCCAAGGTGAGCCAAAGAAACCAGGTTCAGTGGGGCTGGGGACGGAGAGCCCGGTGATGCACTGGGACGTGCAGGCGGCTGCGGCCACGCTGGCTGCTCCTGGGGCAGCCCCAGCACCAGGTCCCCATTCAAGTTCCCATAGGCTGAGGTTGTCCTTCCTCCCCACGCCATCCTGGCCCCCCCAGGTCATCCCCATGCCATGCAGGGACCCCCCCACCCCGCATCTGCATCCTGCTCCAGGCACGTACCCAGGGGATGGGGATGAACCTGCACAAACTCACCTGCTGGAAGGGGCCGACCTGGGCATACACCGTGGTGTACTCTGCTCTGGCCTCTGTGGGGAGAGAAGAGGGGAAGGTCAGCGAGGGAACAGGCTGCGGTGGATGGGAAGGGTGGGAATCCCGGCTTAAAGCAGGCCGAGAGGTGCTGGAGGGCGCTGCTGTGGGTCTGGGTGGAGGTGGAGCATCGCTTGGCATCCCACTTTCTGCCCCACGGGAGGTGGGAGCAGGGCGCTTGCTTACAGCTCAAAGGATGGCAGTGGAAGCGCGCGCCAGTGCAAACCAGCTCTTCCCATTCCAGTACAAGATCCCCGGCTGCTTTCAGAGGGTGAGATGCGTTTGTCTCTCCTTCAGACATTGCCCCTATGGCAGCGTCAGCTCGTTCCATGGCCCATCAGAGGAGAGACAATTGAAACCCTTCATAATCCCATTTGGGGGTCAAAATTCCCGTGTCCCTCATTGGCAGCACTGGAGGAAGAGCAATGCAGGCTTCAGGCAGGGCAGGGGTTGCTGCAGGGAGATGCTTTGCCCATAGTTCCCCATGGAAGAGCTGGACCTCAAGGGTTGGGTGGCAGGAGCCCATGGCCCCGGTGCTGAGTGCACCCCAACATCCAGGCACAGGCAAAGAGGAGGCAGGAATCCCCCCGTTGGTGTGAGCTGATGGAAACAACACTGTTTTCCAGGGATGGAAGGAAGAGGAGTCAGCGGGATCCACGCGGGGCACCGGCCCCGTTGTAGCAGCGATGCTTTGGGGGTCTCATGGCTGCGCTCCCAGCTCCTTCGTGGAGGGCTGGCACCAAGTTTTCCAGCAGCAAACTGGGGAAGAGCAGAGCTTCAGCCTCGGGAGCATCGCTGGGGTCACCTCTTGGAGCTCACTTCCATGCATGCAGGGTGAGGGCGCGGGGAGCGGTTGGGGTCTGCTCTGGTACCAAGCCCCAGCAGTGGATGATTTCCCCTCCTGATTTTCAATGCAACCGGGTTGTTCCCACCAGGAAAAAAAGGGGGATGGATGGAGGGAGGGAGGGAGGGAAATGCCTGGGGCAGCCCCAGTGCCCTACCTGTGTTCACAGCCTCATCTGCAGGCAGATGGAAGATCCTCCAGCCTGCGGGAGAGCAACGCAGGGGCTCCTGTCAGCAGCAGCAGCAGCAGCAACAAGAGCAAACCCCACGGAGCATCCGCAGCCCCGGCATCTGCAGCCCTCCCCGGTGTCGGGGCCGTGATGGACTCCCATGGATGGGGCTCTCGGGTCCGCAGGCACCCGTGGGGTTTGCTCACCTTTGGGTTTACAGCAGAGCACGAGGATAACGGATGCTAAAAGCGCTCCGGATCCGACCACCGCTGCGGCCGCAATCGCAGCCCTCCTGCTGGAGCGGGTGCCTGGAGAGAGAGCAAGGTCCGGTAGCAACATCCCGGAGCGGATCTGCCTCTTCCCAGCATCAGAGCGGGGAGGGGAAACGGGCACGGCCGTGCTTCAACACCCTGCTGAGCCCTTCCCTGCTTCACAGGGACCCTCACTCCCTGGTCCAACGTGGAAAAGAGGCGATGCGCTGCGTGAGGATGGGTGATGCTGCAGGCAGAGCAGCGACAGCGCCGGGGCAGGGGGACCCCGGCCCCAGCCCCTCCATGGCCACAGCTTTCCCCACTGACGTCCCTTTGCCTTCGGGGGTGGGAAGAACCCCGCTGGAAAACGGAATGCGGAGCCAGGCTCCCCCCTGCAGCCCCTGCGCTGCGGGAATTGCTTTGTCGCTGCCATCCCAAAGCAGGGGGTGTTGAGGGGTCACCCGCTCCCCCCCAAATCCCCCTCCCCGGGTGCTCGGGGGCACACTCAGACACCCAAGAGCCAGCTCGGGAGCTCACCGCCGGTGCGAGGCTGGGCTGCGATTTCTGCAGCGTGGGGAGGGAAGAGGAGAGGAGAGAGCTCAATGCCCGTGCTGGGCTGCGAGCACGGCTCGGGGGGAAGCGGAACCCCGAGGTGCAGGATAGGGCCCTTCCCCAGCCCCTTCTCCGTGCCCGGTACCTGCGCAGAGGGCCGCGGGCGAGCCGACGGTGATGTTGCGGCTGCTGACGGGGTTTTGAGCCGTGCACGTCAGGAGCGGTTCCTCGACGGGGGATTCCTCCACCAGCACCGCGGCCCCGGCGCTCCACGTGCTCCCCATGCTCCAGGTGTAGGAGACGTCGCCAGCGCCGACGCCGGTCGCGGCGCAGAGCAGGGCATAGCGGCAGACACCGGCGGAGCAGTTCTGCCCGGTGCACGTCACCGTGGGCGCTTCCAGCACCCCTGGGGGACACGGGGGTTGAGCCATCAGAACCCCGGTTGAGCGCAGAGCATAAAGCAAAGGGCCAACGGTGGAAGGTCCCTACCGTAAACACGCAAAGTGAAGGTGGTTTTGGCGCCCGCGCTCTTCGCCGTGTAGGTGCCCGCGTCCTCCAGGCTCAGCTGGGAGATGCTGAGCGCGCTGCCGTTGCCGGGGAAGGCCAAGCGGGGCTTGAAGCTGTCGTCGAAGAAGGTGGCGTGCGGAGGGTCCCCGAAGCGCACGGTCACCACCACGTCGCCGTGGAAGCTCCAGGCTGCAGCTTCCCCCGCGGGGCTCTGGAGGTGGAAGGTGATGGAGCTGCCCACGGCGCCGATCACCTCCGTGCCGCAGGTGCTGCGCGCTGCGGAGAGGAGCGGGGACAGGATGTGGGGAAGGGGTCTTGGGTGGAAAGGGCTCCGCATCGCCCGCTGCGACACCACAGACAGGCTGAGAGCCAGGGGCTGCAGGGCACAGCACCTCTGGTCCACTGCGGGTAACGTCATAGGGTCACACTGCTTTGGGTTGAAGGGAGCTTGAGGCTCATCCAGCCCCACAGGCAGGGACCCCTTCCACTGGAGCAGGATGCTCCAACCTGGCCTTGAGCACTGCCAGGGATGGGGCAGCCACAGCTTCTCTGGGCACCCTGTGCCAGCGCCTCAGCACCCTCACAGGGAAGAGCTTCTGCCTAAGAGCTCAGCTCAGTCTCCTCTCTCTATCAGGTTCAAGCCATTCCCCTTGGCCTGTCCCTGCGTCCCTTGTCCAAAGCCCCTCTCCAGGTTTCCTGCAGCCCCTTCAGGCACTGGAGCTGCTCTCAGGTCTCCCCTTCAGGAGCCTTCTCTTCTCCAGGCTGCCCCAGCCCAGCTCTCTCAGCCTGGCTCCATGGCAGAGCTGCTCCAGCCCTCGCAGCAGCTCCACGTCCCTCTGGTGCTGCTGCCCCGGAGCTGGATGCGGGATGCAGGGGGGGTCCCACAGAGCGCAGCAGAGGGGCAGGACCCCCCCCATAGCCCAGGAGATGAGAGCCTTTCTGGGCTGCGACCACACAAAGCCTCTGGAGCACCCCTTGGGATAAGGATTCCCGCTGCGTCACTGATCCCGGAGCACCGAGGAGCCGGGGTGATGGCATTCATTAGGGGAATCCTTTGTATTATAAAGGATCCGTTTGCCTCCGTGGCCCCACAGCGGGGCTTGCGCTTTCACATCCCCCAAAGTGCTCGTGAAGCAGCTTCCCTTGCACGGAGGGGCTCAAGGGGCAGAGCCCCGAGGTGCAAACTGAAAGCACAAGAAGCAGCTCAGCAAGGCTCCCCTCAGCACCAGCTCGCGAGGGCCAGGCTGAGCTCTAAGCAGGCAGAAAGGCTTCTCCACCCCATGTGGAGCTGGTTCCCTCTTTCCCAAGCAGGAAGAAGACTTCCCACCCCCAGTTTAAAGCCGCTGCTCCCTAGCGTGGGCTGGGGATGGAGGCTGCGTCCCCACTGCTTGGAAAGGGGACTGATCCTGGCTCGGGCAGGCGGCCGGAGCCCAGCGGTCCCACCTCACCCCAGGGCTCTGCATCTCCGGTTCCCAGAACAGGAGGCTCTGACCGCATGGCAGGAAAAGCTGCTCAGCAGATAGAGCTGGAGGAAGCCCTGCTGAAGCAGTGGATAAGGACACTGCAGGGCTCATCCGGGGGCAAAACCCTCCCCAGGCCCATTTCCCATTGCTGAAAGGAGCCAGAGCGCATCCCCCCCTTCCAAACAGCCCCGAATTCCCCAACAGAAACCCGCGGGAGCAGGGAGGACACGAAGAGAAGAGCCCCTGAGCGGAGCGCATCCAACCCGGCACATCTGGCAGCAGCTGGATGGAGATGGACTGGAGCAGTCACTCGTTTGCACAGCAGAGCGAGGGGCCAGCACTGGGCCGTGCCGGGCATCTTTCACCCTGGTTTGCCCAACATCCTCAGGACGTCCCTGCGAGGATCCTTCACCATTGGTCCCACGCATCCCTGCTCTCCCAGGAGTCCTTAAAACCAACCTAAACCTCCCCCCGGGCCCTCCATTGCTGAGGGAGAAGGAGCACCTGGCACTTACTTGCTTGCTGAAGGACGAAGGCGAGCATCAGGCACCAAAACCCATCCATCGACCCACGGCGCGCGGAGGGGAGCTCCCTGCACCCAGCATGTGCCCCAGCGTGCGGCAGCAAGAGGGAGATGTGAGCACACAGCCTCCCCTTCCAACACTGCATGGGTGGAGACAACTGCTTCACCCAATGGCTGCGACGTCAGATGGAGACGTGGGGCTGATGGGTATGAGCGTAGAATAGACAGGGGATAAACACAGAACCCACAGTGGGTTGGGTTGGAAGGGACCTTGAAGCTCATCCAGCTCCAAAGCAGGGACCCCTTCCACTAGAGCAGGGTGCTCCAAGCCCCTGTGTCCAACCTGCCCTTGAACACTGCAGCCACAGCATCTCCATTCAACCCATCCCAGTGTCCCACCACCCTCACGGGGAAGAGCTTCTGCCTAAGAGCTCATCTCCATCTCCCCTCTGGCAGGTTCAAGCCATTCCCCTCGGCCTGTCTCTCTCCATCCCTTGTCCGTAGCCCCTCTCCAGGCTTCTTGCAGCCGCTTTGGGCACTGGAAGGAATCCCAATGAAAACTTCATCCGAAAAGCTCCACTTCCAAGCAAAGAGGAGCGTGGCATCTGGGACAAAGAGCAGCACCACGGCTCCGTGTGAGAAGCAGCCCAGCTCCTCTGCAGGAACCAGCCTGGAGAGGTGCAGCACGGAACCCATCACCCACAAGCACGCTGGTGCCATGGACCAGTGTCACCAGGGCACGCTCCATGAGGGATGCTGTAACACTGGGGATGGGCTCCTCCTGCGGGCTAAGGCACAAAGCGACACCCAGGGGCTGGACCACCTTGGAACCCCCTTTGTCTCCTCCAACCATCCCCTGGGAGCCAGCATCTCTGTGGCACCGTGGCTCAATGCCACCCATTGGCACCATCAGCGTTGTCGCTGGAACCCTTCCCCATCCCGAGCATCCCATGCCCGCGGTTGGGTGCCCCATCACGGGGTGCTCCATCACCCTGCAAGGAGCAGCACCGGGCTAAACCCTGCACCAAGCACCAGGCACAGGATGTGAGGTTTTACCCCCTTTTAGGGTCACAGACCTTGCCCCTCTGTGGTCCTGCCCGGAATCCTGGTGAAGCTGCTGCTTTGGAGGCTTTTCCAAGGAAGCAGCTCAGCTGATGCGCTGGAGCAGCCCGGGACACACTCGTCCAGCAACCCTTTCCAAAAGGCTTTCCCATACGTTTATTTCCCTTTCCCTTAGGCAGCAGTGAGCTGCGGGCCCTTGGGATTATGAAATAGCTCGGATTTGGGATGGTTTGACAGCCGCTGTCCTGCATCCAGCATCGCCGGGGGATTGCTGCAGGGAATGCGGGCTCTGCTGTGGGCAGGGGAGGCTTCAAGTTCAGCTTTCAATGGTCTTGGGAAAGAGGCCCCGGAAAACCCTTGCCTGTCCCTACAGGGAGCAGCGGGAAGGGATGGGGATGGAGAAGGGGGCAGAGGCATTGCCCAAGCAGGGGCACGAGTGTGCCCAGTGCGGGAGCCGGGCTGAGCTCAGCCTCCGGGGTACAGCAAAGTCTGCTGCAGCAGGAACCCGGCAGTGTCAGAGCTGCTCCGGGAACAGAAGTTGAATGAAAATCACTTCTGGTCATAGGAGAAACAGTTCTGGTCATAGAAAAATCACTTTGGTCATAGAAAAATCACTTTGGTCATAGAAAAAACATTTTGGTCATAGAAAAATCACTTTGGTCATAGGAAAAACAGTTCTGGTCATAGGAAAAACACTTTGGTCATAGAAAAATCACTTTGGTCATAGAAAAATCACTTTGGTCATAGAAAAATCACTTTGGTCATAGAAAAATCACTTCTGGTCATAGGAAAAACACTTTGGTCATAGGAAAAACACTTTGGTCATAGAAAAATCACTTTGGTCATAGAAAAATCACTTTGGTCATAGAAAAATCATTTCTGGTCATAGGAAAAACAGTTCTGGTCATAGAAAAATCACTTCTGGTCATAGAAAAAACACTTCTGGTCAGAAAAATCACTTCTGGTCGTAGGAAAAACAGTTCTGGTCATAGATAAATCACTTTGGTGACAGAAAAAACACTTCTGGTCATAGAAAAATCACTTGGGTCATAGAAAAATCACTTGGGTCATAGAAAAATCACTTCTGGTCATAGAAAAATCATTTCTGGTCATAGGAAAACACTTTTGGTCACAGAAAAATCACTTTGGTTATAGAAAAATCACTTCTGGTCATAGAAAAATCAGTTCTGGTCATAGGAAAAACACTTTTGGTCATAGAAAAATCACTTTGGTCATAGAAAAATCACTTTGGTCATAGAAAAATCAGTTCTGGTCATAGAAAAAACACTTCTGGTCATAGAAAAATAATTTCTGATCATAGGAAAAAACACTTCTGGTCATAGGAAAAACAATTCTGGTCATAGAAAAATCACTTTGGTTATAGAAAAAACACTTCTGGTCATAGAAAAATCAGTTCTGGTCATAGAAAAATCACTTGGGTCATAGAAAAATCAGTTCTGATCATAGGAAGAACAGTTCTGGTCATAGCAACCTCCCTGGGGTTCCAGCCCATAGCAAAGCCGGGTTACAGCAACCTCCCTGGGGTTCCAGCCCGCTGCTGTTGGGCTCCCATCGGCGGTACCACGGGCGTGGGGCTCCCCCTAGTGAAGCCCGTGGGGCAGAGGGATGAGGTTGGGGGGCAGACCGGCCCCACGCTTCCCGGTGCTGCTGTACGGAGCTGAGGGGCTGGAGCCTTCCCCTCCGAGGAGCCGATTCCCTCTGTGGCTGCATCCAGAGCCCTTCTACCCCCTCCCCGTGCTCCGGTGTCTTCCCTTAACCATCACCCAAGGAGGTTTGGTGCCTGCCTTCATCCAGCCCTGCTCTTTGCCGTCCCTCCCCTCCACATGGCAGCCCCGGCTCGGCTGCATGCCAGAGGGGTTTGCCGCAGTCCCATAGGGATGGGGAGGGTTTCCTCAAGCCAGGAATGTGATGCTGGTGGCCCTGGAGCAGAGGCTCAGGCCGTGGGCATCATCACGCTGGCATAAACGGTCGTGGGCTCCTTGATGGGGCTCTGCAGGGAGAAGCAGGGAAGCAAAAGAGGAGCCTGAGCTGGGGGGGGAGATGTGGGTCAGCCCATGGGGATGCCCACGGGGGCAGAACCACCCTTACCTGTACGAGGTGGCTCTGCAGGGTGTGGGGCTGTGCCGGGGGGTCCCGTGGGGCGCAAGGGGCTGCGCTGGGGACCAGTGCCGTGTCCAGGGGCTGGCTGGTGGCTGTGGTGTAGATGGTGATGCAGGAGGGGGGCTCGGTGATGGGGGCTCCTTTCGGCTTCTGCACAGAGAGCAAAGGGTGAGCAGCGGCGCAGAGCTCACCGTGGGGACCCCTCGGTCCCTCTCCCCCCCATGGACCCACCGTTTCCTCCCCTTTTGGGGAGCAGTGGGTCCAAAACCCGCGGTCTGTCCCCAGAGCCACCCTGAGGTGCTGGGGGCTGCAGCACCCAACCTCATTCCCAGCAGTTCCTGCGTTAAGCCTCCCCATCCTCTCCCTCCCCGGTCGCAGGGCTGCGTTAGCACCCATTCATAGGGTGCTGCAGCCCAACCGAGAGGCACCCAACAGCGAGCTGGGGGCTTTGGGTGCTGCTGCCCCCACCCAAGGAACCCCACCAGGGTCCCATCGCTAAGGAGCAGTGGCCGTGGCTCACCTGCCTCCGCTGCACCTGGGAGTAGATGGTGTGCACTGCGCTGTCCTCGGGGGGGGCTGAGCCCTCCTGCCCGCCTGCAGGGGATGGGGAAGCCACTGAGGGGGGGCTCAGGTGTCACCTCCCTGCTCCTGCACCCCGAGAACTCCTTGGGCAGGGCTCCTGCCTCGGATCCCATCTGCATCCCCCCTCGCGCAGGTTAAAGCCATTCCCCTCCATCCCTTCCCAAAGCCCCTCTCCAGGCTTCCTGCAGCCCCTTTAGGCACCGGAGCTGCCCCAAGGGCTCCCCTTAGACCCATAGAATGGTTTGGGTTGGAAAGGACCTTAAGATCACGCAGTTCCAAGCCCCCTGCCATGGGCACCCTTAAGGAACCTTCGCTTTGCTCCTTCCCAGGCTGCCCTTAGGATCACAGACCCACCCAGCTTGGAAAAGACGTTTAGGATGGAGCCCGACTCTTCCCAAGTGCAGCAGCAACCCAGGACACCGCAGATCCATAGGGACCAACCCCTTGGTCCCTTCCTGTCCCTCCACCAGGCTCACCCCAAGCACGGAGCCTCAGGCACCCCCGGCACTCACCCCCGGCCTTGGCCACACGGGCAGCCACGAGGGCCCCGATGAGCATCACTGCACCCATGGGCACCACCACCACCAGCACCACCACGAGCAGGAGACCCTGCGGCCCCGGCCCGGCGCTGCCTGCAATGGGGCGGGGGGAGAAGAGAGGGGATGGGATCAGCCACCGGCCCCACAGCGCCCAGAGCCGAGCAGGATGTGCTGCTAAAAGCCTTTTTGTCACCTCCTTTTGGGCCGTTTAACAGGAAACAAGGGGCAGGAAACGCTTCTCTCGAGCAGAGCATCCTTTAATCGCCTCCAGACTGCCCCGAGCAGCAAAGAACCTGCTGCAGGGGCCATCGGGGCCAGACACAGCCCTAAGGATGCCCCCGGTGCCTGTGGGGGGGCAGCCCCATGGCACTGCAGGGTGTGAAAGCCCTGTAAAGGACAGAGCTGTGCAGCTCCAGCCTTGCTCCTGGACCACCACGGTCCCATCACACAGGGGCGCAAGGGGGTTTGGGGCAAGGAGGGCTGAGGAACAAGCCCTTGGAACGCCTCGTTTCAGCATCTCCCTGTTCCGAGGGTCCCTCCTGCTTCTCCCATAGGGCTGCAGCACGAGGTCACCTTTGGGGCCCCAGGGAAAGGGGCAGCCACGGCCTGGAGAAGGCCCCCCCCCATCACAAGGGGAGCCCCATGGGAGGCAGCGTGACTTGGTCCCAGGAGCCCGCGAAGGGGAAGCTGCCCCCAGGCCCGGAACCTCCCCGTCCTTCCCCTTCCGAAGCAGCCCCAAAAGGCTCCTTCGGGGCTGCCTAAAGCAAGAGGCCAGCAAAGCAAAGGGGCAGCGGTGGGGA